CTCACTGCTGCCAAAGCTACATCCCTTGCAGAGGAGAAGTCCATGCTGCCCTGTTCTGAATCTACTAGCTTCCAGTGATGCTGACTTGAAGCCTTGGCCAAAGGTGTATCTGTATGCTTCTCTTATTGCCACTCTTTTCTTCCACTTTACTCTTATCTCTCTTTCTCTCTCTCTCTCTCTCCACTGCAGTCCTCTTCTAAAGCTGCTGTGCCTACCACTCCAATTGTTGTTGAGCCTACCTCTCCACCAAGTGTGTATTGTCATACTTTGCTCTCTGCTCATTTTCAAATAAGTGTTTGTGTTGCCTGTGTAGCAGCCAAGAAGGGTAAGGCAGCTGCTGCCCCCAAGGAGTCACCATCAAAGCAACGCCACAAGTGAGCTCAGGCGGAGCTGCAGAAGAAATACAGCCCATGCATGACCATCCTGCTGCACAGGCTACTTGCCAAACCTCTCCAATTTCATGCATAACTGGTTAGTCCTTCCTCTTCCCTATCCATTTGGAAGTTTTATTTGTTGACAACTTCCAATGTGCATTGGAGGTTTTATTTGTCAACAACTTGCAATGCACATTGGATGTTTTATTTGTTGACATCTTCCAATGCTCATTGGATGTTGTATTTGTTGATGTCTGCTGAGCCACATCACAAGTCTTCTTTCTCATCTATCCACTCACATATCAATGCAGGTTTCAGTTTACATCTAATCATCCACTTAATGTCTTCAATGCTGCAGAATGACTTTCCACGACCTGCAGTGTTGCTACATCTCCCTCCAACTTTGCCCACAGCATTGTCAACATTGAAGCACACAAGAGCCTCCAAGTTTTCTGTCTTCTCCACTTTTCCTTCACTTCCCCCTCCTTTGACACCAGCTTCCTGCTTCTGACCCTTTCATCAGTGGCAGTGATGTCTGCAGCTTCTCCCACCACCACATCCCTCAGCCCTCCATTGGGCGCCCTCATCCTATAACTGCCATTCCAGAGCCTCACTGCTACCTTCACCACATCCCCATCCCTCAGATGAAGTGTGAAATGGTTCACTCTGCTCCTGCCTTCCTCACCACACATTCATCTGACTGCTTTCCTCTTCCTCAAGCCCTCTACAGCTTCCTCCTCCAGAGCTTGGAGCTGCTGGCACCAGCTCCATCTCCCTCTTTTCTCCCAGCACTCCCTGCCACCTCCTCTATGAAGCAAACCCCACCTACTATCTTTCCCTTGTCCCTGCCCTCTACTCCAACTTCATTTGCCTATCCTCCACTCCCATTCCCTCCAAATCCAACATCTCCTCTCTTTCCAACTGGCTGCTCACCTTCCTCTCCACATTCCTCACTGATGACAAGCTCAACCTCCTCTTCACCAACATGGAAGCACTCTACTCTCATCCTGGCTTTGACCAGCTGCCACCCAAGAGCACTGCTTCCAGCTCTTCCACCTCTTCTGCTTCCTCTTCAGGCTGAAAGCAGTGCAAGTCCCTTGGTTAAATGTTAGCCTCCTCCCACTCAACTCCAATAAATTGCTACCTTTTTCTTTGATACCCTCACATCACCACTGCCCACTTCACACAGAAAAATGCCAAAGCATCCTGTTTAACTTGCGTTTTCCCCTTCCTGTACAGATTTCACATTATTTCTTACTCACAATGTTCACCAAAACATGTATATCCAAACAGAACACATATAGCATGTGTACAATTTCGAAAAATCAAAAGTGACACGCTCACTTTTTAACAAGCACTCTGTTCCACTCTGTATGAGAGGTACAAATGACTGTGGAATTTTTCCACCACAACAAAGGTCCATTCACACTGATAAAATCTCTTTTAACTCCACACATTCCAAGTTTTTATGAAATCTTTTTCATCTCCAGTCAACACTGTGTCTGGAAAAAGGTGATAGCGGTACTTTTTAATGAAACTAAAAACAGGTGTACATGAGATAAAAACACTGTGGAATTTGAGTGTACACAGAGAAGAGAAGTTTTATTTACAGGAGTCTAAATATTTCTTGAAGGGTGGGTGGGGGAACTCCAGTGTTGGCATTAAAGTCAAAGCCACAAGCTAAAACAGACCCCATTGGAACAGTGCTTTCTGAGCCATGGTCAGTCCAGTGTCCATTAGTGAAGTTCCACCAGTGGACATGGAGCCTCTTATGGAGAACGCTGATGATCTTGCATATCCAAAAGTCCTGAGTGTCTTCATCAGCATCAGCCCAGACAGCAACCCACTTACCAGGAGCAAAGTTGAAACATTGGACTTGGGGTGTAGTCCATGTGTGGACAACCTTGACCCTGGTTTGGAGATGGAACAATGGACCATCAAGGAGAGGATTAGTGATGGGGTGAGCTGTGAGTCCATCAAAAATCAAGTTATCACAGGTGGGTTGGGAGCTTGAAACAAGAGCCTCATGTGCTTCAAAGATATCAGATGTCAGCAAAAGAGAAGTTATCAAGGCATTTCTTGCGACAACAGAATGATGCAAGAACAGTATTGATGTGGTTATTGCTGACAAGCAGGCAACACTTTTTGGGGATTCACTCTTCAGCAGTTTGGAGAACTCTCTTCCTTGGAGTATGAGCTGTGGCTCATAAGGACTGGCCAAAGATTGGGGATAGTAGGGTAGAGGCAAGGACCTCAGTGTTGGTGGGGAGAGAGTGGCTCATTGCAGTGGAGAATGACTGTATGACACTGGCAAGGTATTTAAACATTTGGTGTGATATCTCCAATTCCCAACAGCCACATAATGGATAGATGTGGTTATCCTGGATTGGTGAACATTTGTGTTTCTTGGAACTCCAGACCAATGAGCTCACAACAGTGGAGTTGAGGAAAATACTGGAAAATTAAAAAACCTGATGTGCATCAGGTTTTTTATTTGTTGACTCTTTTCCCCAATGCACATCAGGAATCAGGACAACAAATTAAAACCAATGCACATCAGGAAAAGAGTCAACAAATAAAAAACCCAATGCACATTGGGTAGCAAGTCAACAAATAAAAAACCTGATGCGCATTGGGAAGATCTCAAAGCTCTCCAGACCACATGAAATTTCGCCACCTGTTTCCAGTCCCTCCAATTAGAATTTAATGCAGACAGCATTTTTTGTAGACCTTCACTACCTATAAAATGTCAAAAAACCTGTTTTGATCATTTTGTTGTACCACCCATGTTCAACACACACTTCCTTACAATGTCTTCTTGCCAAGCTGCCTCAGTCCTTCCCAACTTCTCAGCCATGTCAGCCACTGAGCTTCTAGCAAGCTCCCATAATGCCCTGGCAAAGGTCCACCAGCAACCCAGCACCAAGGTTATCACCAAGGTGTACATTGACAGGTTGCTGCAGGTGTGGGGCCAAGACACTGGCTGCACAAAGCAGCAGTCTCTCAAACTGCTAACACAGTGTACACCAATGACAGCAGAGGTGGGAGCAAATGAGCCAATGGATGTGGAAGAGGGTGGGGAGGAGCAGCAGATGGAGGATAAGGAGGAAGAGCAGGAGAAGGAGCTGGAGGAGGAGGAGGAGAAGCATGGGGAGGAGCAAGTGGAGGAGGAGAAGGGGGTGGAGCTGGAGGAGGAGATAGTGGAGGAGGAGAAAAAGGAGGAGAAGGGAGAGGAAGTGCAGGAGGAGGAGTGGGAGGAGGAGTTGGAGGTGGAGAAGGAGCTAGAGGAGGAGGAGAAGCTGGAGGAGGAGGAGCACCAAG